CTCTCTCTCTCTCTCTCTCTCTCTCTCTCTCTCTCTCTCTCTATAGTTTTATCCCTGCTTAATGCTCGCTGATTGGCATGGTCGAGAGGTGGAATATTTAGCTACTCAAAGATGGCGACATGCTATTTGTACTGTGTTTTAACAATTAAGGCCAATAAAGTTGATGAGTATTATTAATTATGTGAAATCCTACGTATTATATTATGAATTTGTTTAAAAGCATTATTACATTAAACGGAGTATAAGATGCTCACATGAATTCGAATCAAGATCCATCAATTGTGAAACCATGCAGTAACCATTAGAATGTCTCTATAAATATATTATATCAAGTAGTTAGTCACAAATTTGGTTATAGTTTGGTTCAGTCGTCTAATGGAAACTACTCCGAAAGACAAACAAAGAAGAAGAAAGAGAAAGACATTGAATTTATGTAGTTCCTATCATCATCATCATCATCTTAGCTTCTTAATTGCCATTTTTGAAATGATCAAAAGTCAAACAAGCCACCATCTCAAAATTTATAGTCGGAGAAAAAACAAGAGAGCTAGAAGTAAGTAAGGAATTTGACCGGGTCAAATTTGATTATTCTATTGAATGAGGAATCCGTAAATATAAAAATAAATGGGTTATTTGAAGAAATTTTTATATATCTCGTTATCACGAGAAGTAGTCATCAAATTTGTCACCACTATGTCCTATTTTGGATATGAGAGTTCATGAGAATATAGCGTATGAGTATAGCCAACTATTTTTAAAAGCGAAAGAAATATTATTACGATGATAATATATTTTTAAAAAAATAAAATATATTTTTATTATATTAAATGACATTTCACATGTGAATTTGAATCTTAGACTCATTATTGGAAGTTCACATGTGAATTTGAACACATAGCCAACTACTTTTAAAAGCGAAAGAAATATTATTACGATGGTAACATATTTTTAAAAAATAAAATATATTTTTATTATATTAAATGATATTTCACGTGTGAATTTGAATCTTAGACTCATTATTGGATGTTCACATTGTGAATTTGAATGCGAGATTCATTTATCGAGCGTTCACTTCAACCTGAAACTTATTATTATATAATAATACGTTAACCAATCAGATATTTTTAGAGACGATAGCAATATGTTTCATACTGCTTCATATTGGAGCCATTCATATCCTCATTATTCACATCAATAATTTTTTATTTTGGAATTTATTACGAATGCTCTCAGCTGCTACATAGCATACTGTTAGAATCCATAATATTCTTAATTATCAAGAAGCCAACAGAGAATAAATAAGTTAGAGGAGAAGCACCAAATTAAATATTTTTTTTATCCTGCTAATATTGTCTTTTCAACAAAGGAAGTGTTGCCATTTTACTTGGAAGTTCTTCATCTTCCAACTTCTATATCAAATCCTATTTTGTTCTGTAAACTATGGTGTCCTGTAGTGTGTAAGGTGGGAACCGTTGATGATTCACCAAGCAGTCTTTCACACTCTTCAGGAACATGTTGCATCGAAGAGCGTTGTTGGAGAGCCCTCTTCGCGTATATGGAGCTTCTCGGCCAATTCTCTCATTGGAGGAGGCCTTTTTATCTCCCTCAACATTCAACACTCCTTTGCAAGCTCGGCAATTACTTGGAGGATATCCATGCTCTCCTCCCCTGTGATTCGATCATCCAACATCTCATCAAGCTTGTTATCTTTTAAAATTCACAACTTGTGTTCAGCCAGTCGACAAGCTTCAAAATCGTGATTCTTTCAAGAAGATCAATGGAATCCATAACATTATGAGGACAAAAAGAATAGAACTTCTGGATTCGAAACTGGTCCGGATTTGACTCTGGAATCATTTCAAAAATATGCAGATGACTTCAAGGAGCAGTACTACTTTCACACAATTGCAGACTTTGATGTAATATCTGGTCAACAGGAACCATCAGTAGAGAATATTGATGGTGAATATTGGCGGATAGTAGAGAAGCCAACTGAGGAGATTGAGGTGCTATTCTAGATCACACAAACCGTAACGAATCTAGTTGTGCACTAGTGTTTCTGTTGATTATAGTATTATTAGATGCATTTCATACTTCGCATAAAATTGCAAAAATATCTGGACTTGTCTCTTCTTCCAATTCGAAGAACAACCAGACTTGCTTCACAATCTTGTAATAGCTTTTTGCCTTATCTTTTCTCTCTGCATGAATGTTATCTTGGGAAGATGATGTTTTCTAGCTTATTTTCTTTCAGAAATTCAACTGGAAAGTATTCAGCATGTCTGATGTTTACTGGTGTGTTCAGAGGCCCAGAAGAGTTTGTTCTCACTTTCCCTCGAGCTTATCACGCTGGTTTTAATTGTGGATTCAATCGTGCAGAAGCTGTAAATATGGCTCCTCTTGATTGGTTACCTCATGGGCAGAATGCTGTGGAACTTTATCGTGAACAGGGACGAAAAATATCAATATCCCTTTCAACTGGAGCTGCAAGGGAAGCTGACTTGTTTTCAAGGCAGTCAGATTGTGATGATAAGACAACTTCCCATGCTCACAAGGATAAAATTCTTCTAGTGCCCCAGACTAATGTGTTGTTGGCAAACGAAAATGATCTGTTGGCTGGCCTGCATGTTTCTCGTAATAGGTTAATGATGATGACCAGGTAGAGGAAAACTGCAGAGAGGTTCTCTCCAATTTATGTGATCAACAGTAGGTTGAATTCCTTCCTGGAAGGGAAAGTGAATGTGTGAGATCTGCAGCCAGTGTAGTACCTGTTGCAAAAACCAAGTGCAGATATTTTGCCTGCATATGAAGCATCTGATTGTGTTACTGAACCTATTCATCCTCAAATTATCCAGAATTATGGAAGAGGAGAACCAAAAGATAAAAGCCAGAAGGGACAAGCTGAGTTCAATTCTGAGGCTAACATTGATAGAGGCAATTCATCTACTGAAATCCAACCTTGTACACAAAGAAATCTTGATATATGTAACTATGAGCAGATGGGCCCTCGATTGGAAATGGTGGTGCAAAAGTAACTGCAATATTGAGGTTTTGGCATATGGTATTGTGCTTTCTGGAAAGTTTGCTGTTGATGTTGGGAACAGGATTCTTGATTCATTTCAGGAAAGTTTCTGCTGGATTTGAAAGTTACTCGGGACATAAATTTTTTCTTGTTATTGTGTACTTTTGCTTTTTGTCTCATCATTCACCTGATATTTGTCTCATTATGCAGGATATAGAAGTCAAGTTAAATACATTAGCATTTTAGATCCAACACAGATGTGTTACTGTGTATCTGAAATTTTGGATGTTGGATTACTTGGACTTCTATTGACAGTGAGTAATTTTGTCTCTTTGTACCTATGTCACTGTTTATGTCAACCATGCATCCAGACATTGTACATGATGCTAGATTAAGAAGCATCATTGTAAGTTATTATCACAGTATAAGCATGACACATTTTATCAGTAAGTTGATCTTAGTAGTCCTTTTGAATTTATTCCTTATCAACTAGTTCACGATTGAATTTATTCGATGTGTTTGGTGCACCCATGAAACACAAGATTCTTCATTATTGCAATAGCAGACTTGTTATCATAGTAGATTTTAGTTAGTCCATCTTATTTTTGTTGGAGATCTATTAGAATTCTTACGAGACAAATTATTCGACATGCTATACTTGTAGTTGCAATATGCTCCGCCTCTCTTAATGTATCTAAGAACTTTGCTCGCTAAGACTATCCGTGCATGAATCTATATAGCAAACCAAATGCAAATATAATATCCTATCTTGAATGTGTAAGATAAATAAACTCTCTAATTAAACTTGTATATTGTTGTTTTTTCAACTCTATCATTTAATATGGAGTATTCATTGGTTTATAAGTCATCATATAACATTGTTTTAACAAATCTTTAGTATATTTTATACTTACTTTGTGTTTTTTCTTTTTGCCAAAAAAAAAAAGGGAATCATTTTGGATATGCATGGGAAGCATGTAAGCCTGCTGTTGTTTTTGTCTTGATGCATACACATGACTTTAAATTATTTGGCAGAGAGACTTAGGTTGACTTGTATCTAATTTTTGTTAAATATCACATCTTATAATTTGTCGTACCCTAAATCTCTTAGCTTCTTTTACCTCTACCTTTATCTCCTCCTCTCTTCTTCTTGTTATTTCTAAATTAGTATTTCATGAGCCATCTATTTTCAGTACTTTGATTTCAACTACCACAAATAATCTTACCTTGAATAGGACTCTTAAATCAATATCTAATCTAATCATAAAGCTTAAGTTAATATTCCAATACTTCCTTCAAACTCGAGTTTTACATAGAAAAAGAAATACAGATTACAATACTGAGAGTTACAATCCATTATATATTTATTTATCATTCCTGTAATAGAAGTAACACAAGTTACAAAACAAGCAACCAAGAACAGTCTGTTGTTCTACTAGTTCGATTTGAAAATAGAGAGAGAACCTTGTTTCTGTATCTTCTTCATCTTCCAGCTTTTACATCAAATCTCAATTTGTTCTCTAAACTGTGGTACCCGACAGAATCCAAGGTAGAGCTCATAGATGATTCACCAAGCAATGCTTCACATTCCTCGGGTGCATGGTGTGTTGAAGAGACCTGTAGGAACCCTCCTAACATATGCAGTTTCTCAGCCACTTCTCTCATTGTAGGTCGTTCATCCCCCTTGATGTTCAAACATTCCTTTGCAATCTCGGCAATTTCTTGGATGATGTCCATGTTTTCTTTCCCCGTGATTTGATCATCCAATATCTCTTCAAGTCGGCTATCTTTCATTGCTTCAATGAAGCTTGAGGCAAGACCTTTTCCTTGATTGCTCCCATCATAATAAATTGCCTTTTTCCTTGTGACGAGCTCCACCAAAACCACTCCAAAGCTATAGACATCACTCTTTGCTGTCAGTTGACGGACTAGCAAGTACTCTGGGTCCAAATAACCAAGAGTTCCCTGGACCATCGTTATGAATTGGGTTTCGTCTATAGATATCATCCTCGATGCACCAAAATCCGATACTTTTGGCATGTAATTATGATCTAGAAGTATGTTGAGCGACTTCACATCTCCATGAACGATCGGAGGGGATGCCGATGAATGCAAGTAAGCGAGTGCTTCTGCAGATTCTCTGGCTATTCGTAGACGAGTAGTCAAGGGAATTAGTTTCTCATTATTGTCATGGATGAAGTCAAAGAGGGTTCCATTGGGGATGAACTCATAAACCAACATGGGAATTTCCACTTCCAAGCAACAACCCAAGAGCCTTACAATGTTCTTGTGATTGATCTGAGAAAGAATAATCATCTCCCGTACGAATTCTTCACTTTGGTCCTCGGTGACTACCTTAGACCTCTTGATGGCCACTTCCTTGTCACCGTCTATGTTTCCTTTATAAACGGTGCCATGGCCTCCTCGTCCAAGTTCTCGACTCTTATCGAAATTATCTGTTGCTTTCTCTAGATCATCTTTAGTGTATATTTTGACAGTATCAATTTTCTTTGATCTGATTTCTTCGTATAACCTCAAGCCTCCATTTTGCTGGAAGAATTTATCTTTTTCTCCTAGAAGCTTCCTTCTTTGAAATGCTAAGATTATGCAGAAGATGCAAGTAATGAACGAGACAAGCCCAACACAACTGCCTGCACAAAGGGATGAGTTTCATATCAATTATTTTGCTAACTCTTTCGGAGATCGAATTCCAAGTTTCCAAAATAGAAGATTGTTACCGACGAGGCCTATTAATGAAGATCAAAAGGATAAGAAATTTCAAGCTTTTTTTTTAAGTAGGATGACTTAATCGAAATAAAAACTCGAATCCGAATAGATTATTTGTTTCTTCAGATTGAAGTTTTAAGAGAAGGTTTAAGCTAATACGGAAGGAAGGATGAGAACTTGTACCTATAACAATCTTCGTTGATGTCGGAATTCGTTGCCGTGGGACACATGGTTCCGATTTAGGGTCCTTGCTGCTGTGACCTTTTGGGCATGAGCAGCTGTAGTTGCCTAATGTGTTGCTGCACTTTCCATAACATGGATACTGATTTGGTAAGCTGCACTCGTCGATATCTAAGGATTGTCAAAGAATCACAAGGATAAATTGTAAGACCATATACAACAATCGAAAACAGGAGAGTTGGGGGAGAGATGCATGCCGACCTTTGCATCCATCTCGGAGGTAAGGATTGCCTTGGAAACCTGTGGAGCAATTGCAGATATAGCCTGCTAAACTGGTGGAGTTGAAACATTCACTGTTGGTGCTGCGGCATGCATATGAAGAATGGTTTCTCTTAGCTTCCTCGCAGGTCTGGTTGCCGGCTACCCAGTCCAGCACGAGTGGGACGCCGTCCTTGTGCTTGTCGCGAAAGCTGTGGTTGCGGAGGTCGGACTTGTTGAAGGATAACCATTCCTGCCCGGCAACGAAGGCATAGGCGCAGCGGCTGTCGTTCACGTGTGAAGAAACATTGACGAAATAGACAAACCTCGTCGTAAAATACTCCAGCTCCTCCGGGATGGTGGTCTCGCAGCAGCCGGTGCCATGGCACGATCCGCTTGCGATGTTTGCCTCGTCGAAGCAAAAGGAGGCACACCCAGCTCCGTATGTATTGTTTTCCAAGCCTAAGAGGATGCCAACGACGTTGCAGCCCAGGGTCGTGAACTTGTTGCTCGTGTTGGATACCCTAAACGGAAGGCCACGGAGGTTGACTGAAGATCTATGACGAACCACCACTTGGCCGGTACTGTTGAAACAAATCCAGGCGATGTCATACAGCATGCTTGCTTGGCCCTGGGGCAAGGATATGCTCTGAACTGTAATGTTCCTCTCCCTGCCGCCCAAGAAAGCTCTGGGAATCGCGTTAACGACTTCGCAAGTGACCTCGAAGCCTTCCCTGAAACACCCATCGCCGATGCCGAAGGGGTACGGGATGCTAACACCGCCGCATGTCTCTTTGCAACCTGGTGACAACACGTTCGGCGACGGTGGTGCCGGTGCTGCTGCAGTCGTTGTTGCTTGGAGCAGCGTCAACAACAACAGCTGAAACGCGAACGGTGGCAGCGTGGATCCCATTGCTTATGCTTGCTTGAAATTAATGGAACCCTTCAGGCTTCCATCAGATTTATAGGCCAACAGATGGCGAAGCGAGCTTAATTCCTTCCGAAATCGAGTGACATGGAATAATTCCTCGATCAAACACTCGTTCTGAAGCCCAAGTGACAGCTTGCGAAGGCAAAGCCAGGATGCGACAAATGCGAGAAGACCTTGACGCGTGGAAATTACGAAGGCTGAAGGCTATTGCCGTGACTGGTACAGGACGCCTCATCAAAGATTCACTCTGGAGTCCACCTCCGGCGAAGACTATCTTGCAGCATACAAACAATTAAAACGCGAAGAGCAATGATGGATATAGAAATACAATCTCAAACGCCAACAACCATCAGTCAGAGATGAATAATTGGTGCGTGTGCTCCTCAAACGCCAACCATCAGTCAAAGGATTTCGTACGTAATAGTATTTCGTTGTTCTTGAAAAGAACAAAAAGAAAATTGCCAGCTTTCATTGCAAAAGTCCTTCTGCCTGTTTGGGTTTTTGTGTGCCTTTCTTTCTACGCATGCATGCTGTGGCGTCAGCATCATTTGGCAGATGAGATTTAGATTTTTTGTGGCCTTTCAATCCACAATTGTGATAGGTTAATTGTAAAGTTATCCCAAAAAAGACACTTCATAAGGCCAGGAAAGCCATCTCATAAAATAATTTAGGAGACTCGCATCTGAATTCTTTTGCCTTTATAATTTCTAAACCTACAATCTATCATAATATTTTATGTGTTATATATTTATGCCACTTTTTATATATATCTTTAACACAAAAGCTACAGTATGACTTAAACATATGTAGCCTTTGAAACCAATCAAGCTCTTAATGTACAGTATTTTTCCTGTAGCTATTACTCTAGTTAGAAGAGTCCTAATTGAAAAGAACATTCATATAAAATTTATCTAACCGATCCATATTAAAAAGATGAAGAGATTAAGTATTATGAGTTGGAGGTTGCTTCTTAGAAAAGTATTATGAGTTGATTAGAAGTAGGAGTCTTGAGTAGGAGTCCTAATTAAGTAGAAGTATTATTATGAGTTGGGGTTTATAAGCCCTATAAATAATCATGTAATCATCCTCTTTTAATAAAAAAATATATGAATCTTTTTAATAGTCTTTTTTAAACAGCAATTTGGAGAAAGAAACTCCTATAGAATTCCAAGAAGGTCAATCCCCTAAAGAGATCAACCCCAAGATTAGAATCTGCAAGGGTTCTATCAACAGCTCATCTTACTACCGTGCAAAATAAATATAAGAGATTTACACATTGTATCTAATATTATTCATTGTCGATTATGGCGGTAAGATATCAATTAAGCAACATATTTGATAGCTTATGAATTTAGTTACCATCTATTTTCACTACTTTGATTTCAACTACCACAAATAATCTTACCTTAAGTAGGACTCTTAAATCAATGTCTAATCTAATCATAAAGCTTAAGTTAATATTCCAATACTTCCTTCAAACTCGAGTTTTACGTAGAAAAAGAAATATAAATTACAATAACGAGAGTTACAATCTATTATACTTTTATTTATCATGTTTGTAATAGAAGTAACATAAGTTACAAAACAAGCAATCAAGAACAGTCTGTTCTGCTAGTTCGATCTGAACATAAAGAGAGAACCTTGTTTCTTTGTCTTCTTCATCTTCTAGCTTTTACATTAAAATTTGTTCTCTGAACTGTGGTACCCGACAGAATCAAGGTAGAGCTCATAGATGATTCACCAAGCAATGCTTCACATTCCTCGAGTGCATGGTGTGTTGACATGTGCAGTTTCTCAGCCACTTCTCTCATCGTAGGCCTTTCATCCCCCTTAATGTTCAAACATTCGTTTGCAAGCTCGGCAATTTCTTGAATGACATCCATGTTTTCTCTCCCCATGATTTGATCATCCAATATCTCTTCAAGTCGGCTATCTGTCATTGCTTCAATGAAGCTCCAGGCAAGACCTTTTCCTTGACGACTCCCATCATAATAAATTGCCTTTTTCCTTGTGATGAGCTCTACCAAAATTACTCCAAAGCTATAGACATCACTCTTTGTTGTCAATTTACGGACTAGCAAGTACTCTGGGTCCAAATAACCAAGAGTTCCTTGAATCATCGTTATGAATTGGGTTTTGTCTACGGTCATCATCCTCGATGCACCGAAATCCGATATCTTTGGCACGTAGTTATGATCTAAAAGTATGTTGAGTAACTTCACATCTCCATGAACGATCGGAGGGAATGCCGATGAATGCAAGTAAGCGAGTGCTTCTGCGGATTCTCTGGCTATTCGTAGACGAGTAGTCAAGGGAATTAGTTTCCCGTCGTTGCTATGGATGAAGTTGAAGAGAGTTCCATTGGGGATGAACTCATAAACCAACATGGGAATTTCTACTTCCAAGCAACAACCCAAGAGCCTTACAATGTTCTTGTGATTGATCTGAGAAAGAATAATCATCTCTCGTACGAATTCTTCACTTTGGTCCTCGGTGACTACCTTAGACCTCTTGATGGCCACTTCCCTGCCATCGTCTAGGTTTCCTTTATAAACGGTGCCGTGGCCTCCTCGCCCAAGTTCTCGACTTTTATCGAATTTATTTGTTGCCTTCTCTAGATCCTCTTTGGTGTATATTTTGACAGTATCAATTTGTTTTGATCTGATTTCTTCGTATAATATCAAGCCTCCATTTTGTTGGAAGAATTTATCTTTTTCTCTGCGAAGCTTCCTTCTTTGAAATGCAAAGATTATGCAGAAGATACAAGTAATGAACAAGACAAGCCCAACACAACTGCCTGCACATAGGGATGAGTTTTATGTCAATTATTTTGGAAACTCTTTCGGAAATTGAAGATCGGTACCGACGAGGCCTATTAATGAAAATTAACATGATAAAGAAATTTCAAGTTTTTGTAAAGTAGAACAACGTATTCAAAATAAAAACTCGAATCCGAATAGATAATTTTTTCTTCTGATTGAAGTTTTAAGAGAAGGTTTAAACTTATATGGACGGAAGGATGAGAACTTGCACCTATAACTATCTTCGTTGATGTCAGAATTCCTTGAGCTGGGACAGGAATTCCTTGATCTGGGACAGGAATTCCTTGATCTCGGACACAAGTTTCCGATTTAGGGTCCTTGCTGCTGTGACCTTTTGGGCATGAGCAGCTGTAGTTGCCTGCTGTGTTGCTGCACGTTCCATGACATGTATACAGATTTGGCGAGCTGCACTCGTCGATATCTAAGGATTGTCAAAGAATCACAAGGGAAAATTGTAAGACCATATGCAACAATCGAAAACAGGAGAGTTGGGGGAGAGATGCATGCTGACCTTTGCATCCATCTTGGAGGTAAGGATTGCCTTGGAAACCTGTGGAGCAATTGCAGATATAGCCAGGTAGACTGGTGGAGTCGATACAGTCACTGTTGCGGCATGCATACGAAGAAAGGTTTCTCTTAGCTTCCTCGCAGGTCAGGTTGCCGGCTACCCAGTCCAGCACGAGTGGGACGACGTGATTGTGCTTGTCTCCAAAGGTGCGGTTGCGGAGGTCGGACTTGTCGAAGGATAACCAGTCCTGCTCGGCAATGAAGGCATAGGCGCAGGGGCTGTAGGTCTTGTAGGAAGAAAGATTGACGAAATGGGCAAGCCCGACCGTAAAATTGTCCAGCTGCTTCGGGATGGTTGTCTCGCAGCAGCCGATGCCACGGCACGATCCGCTTTCGATGCTTGCCTCTTCGGAGCAGAAGGAGGCGCAGCCGGTTCCGAATGTATAGTCGTCCCCGTCTAAGAGGATGCCAATGACGTTGCAGCCTGATAGGGATAAAAATGGCGATGTGACACACCATGACAGCATCCCCTGAGCGACACACTGCCCGAGGCTCGTCATACCCTGCAGGAGCTCGGCCTTCCACGCAGCCCCAGTGGCAATGTCAGACGCCACCAAAGGTACAGTCCTACCCTGCAGACAACCACGCCAGGTAACATCAAACTTCATCTATAAATACCCCCAAACTCTAAAGAGAAAAAGGAGGGGGAGAGGAACTCACTCAGACACAAAACACTCAGAGGCTCTTCTTCTGCCTCATCGACAATCCCCTCCACATCTTTCTCTAATTTGATCGTCGGAGGGGTCGGGCCGAGCTCCCGGCCCGACCTGTGTGCAGGTGCGAGACGGTGTCGCCTCTTCCTGAAGCTGCGGCGGAGCTGCCTCCCGACCCGAACCGCCGAACCGAACCACCGACCCGAACCGCCGACCCGACTTGCCGAACCAACCTCCCGACCCGGACCACCGTGCTCGGCCGCCGGGAGACCCCGAGGGGCGCCGCCCGAGATCCCCGACATCCGGACCCCCGAACCGAGCCGCGACGGCCCCGAGGCCACGGCTTAAAAAGTTACTTACCGTAACACAGCCCATGGTCGTGAACTTGTTCCTCGTGCTGGATACCCTAAACGGAAGGCCACTGAGGTCGAGATTAGATGCATTTAAATCCACCACGTCGCCGGTACTGTTGAAGCAAACCCAGGCGACGTAATTCAGCATGTGTGCTTGGCCCTGGAGCAAGGATATGTTCTGAACTGTAATGTTCCTCTCGCTGCCGCCCAAGAAAGCTGTGGGAGTCGCAGAGTCGTTGATGGCTTCGCAAGTGACCTCGAAGCCTTCCCTGAAACACCCATCGCCGATGCCGAAGGGGTACGGGATGCTAGTATCGCCGCATGTCTCATTGCAAAGTGGTGACAACACGTTCGGCGACGGCGGTGCCAATGCTGCTGCAGTCGTTGCTTGCAGCTGCATCAACAACAACAGCTGAAACGCGAACAGTGGCAGCGTGGATCCCATCGCTTATGCTTGCTTGAAATTAATGGTACCCTTCAGGCTTCTTTCAGATTTATAAGCCCCCAGTTGGCGAAGCAAGCTTAATTCCTTCCGAAATCGAGTGACATGGAATAATTCCTCGATCAAACACTCGTTCTGCAGCCCAAGTGACGGCTTGCGAAGACGAAGCCAGGATGCGACAAATGCGAGAAGACCTTGACGCGTGCAAATTACGAAGCCTGAAGGCTATTGCCGTGATTGGTACAGGAGGCCTCATCAAAGAAGTACCATGGAATCCACCCCATGCGAAGACTAGAACAATTAAAACGCGAAGACCAATGATGGATATAGAAATATAATCTCAAACGCCAACCATCAGTCAAAGGATTTCGTAAATAATAGTATTTAGTTGTTCTCGCTAAGAACAAAAAAAAGTTATTCTTATAAATAATAGTATTTAATTGATGCATGTGCTCCTCGATTCTCCAGACCTACCCAGAACACCTTAACTTAGCGTAAACTAAGTCAAAGCTATGATAAGCATCACTCTATTTTGACAAATGAGACTTAGATCTTTTGTGAGCTTTAAATCTATAATTTTGATATGTTAATTATAATATTTTTATGAACAAAATTATCTAAAAAAAAATGGGTCACAAGTGAGGAAAGTCATCTCATAAAATAATTTAGGAGACTCGGATCTGAATTCTTTTGCCTTTATAATTTCTAAACTTATAATCTATCATAATATTTTCTGTGTTATATATTTATGCCACTTTTTATATATATCTTTAATATTTTGCATGATGATTAGCAGAAAAGAAAAGCTGTGGTATGACTTAAACATAGGTAGCCTTTGAAATTAAATTTACCTTGTAACAAATAAATCGATTAAATTTGGAGTTGAAGAATATTTAGATTATTTTATAATTCCAATCACATAATTGTTCTTAATAAACTATATCAAATTCCTTTACGAGATAATATGTGAAAACTCTAAAAATCCACTTGTTAACTCAAATTTTCAAACATCTTTTTAGCATCAGTAAATAAAAAAAGAAACCTTTTTTTTGGTTCTCATACCATATAATAGGATAATTATTTAAAGAAAAAACTTAAACTTCACTTATTATAAAAAATTTTATTTGAAGAAAATTGAATATAATAGGTTTTCTATGACCCCTACACATAGACTTATCGATTGTGATGTTTTGCATTATTGATCATAATAGTCATGTTTATATATAAATATTTTCATACATACATTCATACATATACGTGTGTTAATTAAAAAAATATTACACCAAATTATATATATATATATGTATGTATGTATGTGTATGAATTAAAAAAATATATTATACCAAATAATATATATGATACTCAAAAACTTGTGACCTATTACTTATATAACATCACACTAATTAACTCAAATATCTAAAAAAAATATATAAAAGTACCGTATTACTTACCAATAATAAACCTTATTATTGGCAAAATCAAATACTTTCAAAAGAAAATAAGGTATTTCTCTTAAGGAATTTACTCTTGATTATTTGATCCCAAACCTTTTATGTTCTTTTCATCCTAAAAATATACTTTTATTTTATTTTCGTAATTTATTATTTAAATTATCATATATTTAGTTTCATACATATATATTTTTTTTAATTTATAAAAAAAATATTTATTTTTTGAACCTGTTTAAGATAACGAAGACCCTTTTCAAGGGATATTTCGGAAAATTCAATTAGACGGACTTTATAAGATAAAAACAAAAAATAAAAATAAAAACATAATAATAAATAAATAATAAAAAGAAAAAGAAAATAAAAACATGAGTTTTAGTAGTGCGAACGGCCGACCTCCGTCTCACTTATATCTCTCTCCTCTTTTGTATTCGTCCCTTCGATCTTTAATCCTCACTTTGCCCTTTTGTCTCCGTACTCTACAGAGAACGGCGCTCGCTCGCTCGCTCGCCATCAGGCCCTAAACGACGCCAGGGTTACCACCACAGTCGGCCCCTCTCGCAGGGGCGTCTCGTGATCGGATGTGCATTAGAAGCTATTGATAGAATACCGTCTTCGCTACTAGATATCGGCGATATTTGCAGGTAGGGTTTTATATATGTAGTCCGCATCCTGTGGTGCACTGAGAATTGATCGTCATTAATTTTATTTGTTTGTAATTCATCGCAGTTGGTAGGTTCAGATGGGTTTAAATTTATCAATTGTTTTCTTTTTGTGTAAATTTGTGATTGAAGGTTCTTCTGTATTGAGAGGCGTGATGCATTTCTTATGTTGTCATATTCTTTGCATCTTTTGGATGGTCAACACTTAAATATTTGATATGTTCATATGTTGGTGAAATCATACGCAATTGTTTTCTTGTTGCGTAAATTTGTAACTGAAATTTCTTTCTGTATTGAGAGGTGTGATGCATTTCGTCTATTGTAATCTTCTTTGCATCTTTTGGATGGTCAACACTTGAATATCTGATGTGTTCATATGTTTGTGAAATTATACGCAAGTCTTTTGGATGTTGCATCTCCGTGATAATTAGTTAATCTTTGCCATGAAAAGGTATTTCCTTTCGGTGGGGATGATCTTCGCCATGACAGTTGTTGTTTGAGAACTATTTGGCATTTAATTGTGTTGATTATTTGAGTGTGTTCAGAATAACGGAAGAGTGGTTAAGAGCCCTTAAGTGACACTGAGGTGTGTACCTTGATCTTATGTTAATGCTTGAGAAATTGTTATAACTTGAAAACTCATGTCCTTGCTACATATATGTTTTTTACCTGCCATTTTTTTGGTGTTTATTGTGATATATCATTCATGTTCATGTTTGTCTTTGGGGATCTCCAGGTATTCCATTCATTTCTCTCTGTGTGTATATACATGGCCACAATTTTATTCTTATTAATCTTTTGCTTTGAGATTTTAATTCCTTTGCAATTTTTAAAATTTTTGGAAACTAGTGGAAAATAAATGTAAGTTCAACTATTTGATTCATATTCATAAGGGTTTACTTTCAATTGGGATGTTCAAAGCATAGCATCTCTAGTTTATGCTTAAGGTGATGAATATTTTAGGAAGTTTTATAATTAGTTTTATTTGTTCATATATATTGTAAATGTACTTGTCTGTTCTGAATATAGAATTCAATTAAATTTCATTTATTTTTATTATTCTAAGGGTTAGTAGTCAATGTATGCATTGCACTAATTTTTCACTATTGGTATGTAAATGTGTGTCTAAACACAGATCCTACCTGTATTTAACTTTTTCTACCTGCTGTAAGGTTTTTAAATCTATCAGACTGGTCAAATCAGGATCGAGTTGGCTCAGTCCAAGGTCTTTATTATCTGATCCAATCCTAACTGGTAATCCACTGGACTGGCTAAAGACTGGTCTATTTTTTTGTATGATTACTATCTTGAGCTTTGGTTTGAAAGTCTGATCCAGTTCAGCCCAGAGCTTTTGAGTTTCCTCACAACTTAGAAGACATAGTGGTATCTAGAAATTGGAAGTCCAGCCTAGAACTGTGTTATGCAGTAATTTAAGAAAAAATATTATGCATATGCAGTTTCTTGATGTGAGAACATACTCATTTTGAAATAAAAAGCCTTCTTCTTCAGTGGAAGGTCTATTATCATCAAGAGAAGACTTGATGGTAGGTTGTTCCCTAGCAATCTCTTCATTTCCCCTGGGGAATATGGTTGTTACTTCTTTTGTTGCAAGTAAAATTAATGGAGTTTAGTTTAGCTCCCTTTTAATGGTAGTTTGTGAAGCACTTCTCTCCTTTGGAGAGTAGAAGACTAGTTAGGAGGAGGGAACACATTAACGTTTTGTGTAATTTACTTTTGTTTGTAACCAAAGCTGACAGATAGTTCTAGCTGGAGCTTTTTTGACTTCATGAATAGGAACAAATTCTTGTGCTGTACCTGGTGGTATGTTCTAGAAACAAGGACCTCACATTATTTAAAAGTAAGTGGTGCAAGAAGTAGATTTTCCTTTATCCATCTGGTCTTTTGATCAAAAGATTTTAACATGAAACAAATTATTGAAGAAAGTTAAAGCAAATTATTTCATATCCTCTGGAGAATACAACGTTTGTTTTCTGTTTGAGGTATTAATTCGCCTATTTTTACCCAAGATCTCAGCATCACAATTCATTTTTTTCAAAATATCACCTGTTTTTACCCAAGATCTCAGCATCACAATTCATTTTTTTCAAAATTGCAGAGTAAGTGAGCCTCTAGATGCAATATTTCCTCAGTGATTCTTTCAGGTCCTTGGCTTAAAACAAGTTATTTTGTATCCTCTGGAGCATACAATTATTTGTTTGATGTTTGAGACATTAATGTACCTATTAAGAATATCACCTGCTTTTACCCAAGATCCCAGTACCACAATTCCATTTCTGTCTAAATTGCAGGGTAAATGAGCCTCTAGATGTGGTATTTCCTTAGTGATTCTTTCAGGTCCTTGGCTTGTCACATGAGTCCAAAATTCATATATCTGGATGTGAAAAGAAGTATCTGTATCATATTCTTTCTAATATCTGAATGTTTATCTTGGCAACTTCTTATTTTCTCTTTATGTTTTCAAGGTATAAGTTATAAGTTGTGTTTATGTCTAAAAGACGATTCCATACTTTTAGTGCAGCTTGAGTGTTATTGCTGAAAGGTTACGATTACTTAGATATGTCACTTACCTCAAGCAAAAGTCATAAGAATCATGATGTTTGTTATTTTCCTGTTGAATATCTGCAATAAAATTGTTCTGTAGAATGAAAATCATGATTAAAGACCATGCACGGGCACATCATTTTTGTTGATTGTACATTAAAATGTTTACATTTAGGGGTTTCCACTTGAACATGTGGTGCAAATAATTATTTGTCCTCCTTACATTGCTTATCTGGTTGCAACCACAATCTTTTTGTGATTCTGATACATGGTTCAAATTTTTTCATGAATTAATTGATTTGCATCATTGCATGTATATTTGCAATGAATTGAAATTATTTATGGCATATTTTAAAATGGTCAACTATTGTTATGTCTTTTATTTCAGTACCAATGGGAACAGAACATGTAACAACAGATGTTAGTGGTGCAACTGATGGAATACCTCCAGTTCCACCTGGTTTTTCATCTGCTCGCGTTTCTAAAGCTATTGATGGAATACCTCCAGTTCCACCTGGTTTTTCATCTGCACGTGTTTCTAAAGCTATTGATGGAATTCCTCCAGTTCCACCTGGTTTTTCATCTGTGCATGTTTCTAAAGCTATTGATCGAATGCCTCCAGTTCCACCTGGTTTTTCGTCTGCGCATGTTTCTAAAGCTATTGATGGAATACCTCCAGTTCCACCTGGTTTTTCATCTCTTACATCATTTACCTTAAAGAGGGTGCAAGATGGTGTGAAGGCTTCTGCAAATGCTTCTTGCAGAGTACATTGCATGATATCAGATGAGAAATCTAGAAAGAATCTTCGATACAGACCCTGGGTAAACTACAGTGAATTTGATAATGGCTCAGGCAAAGAGTGTGACTATGAGGCTTTTGAGCAGGTAAGTAGTTATTTAAGAAGTTGTTTCATCGACAATAAATTAGGTGATGACTGAAACAATGAATCTAATTCACCATTTATTATTAGAACTAATTGATTGCAATTTTTGGTAGAAATCGGACCATAACCTTGTGGTTGGCCCCTGTTTCTGTTGAGGAGATTCTGGGTTCAAATTCTTGTGCAGGTGGTGCCCAATGATTTGGTCTAGTTGGTTCTTTAGGTGGGGGATTAACTCTTATTAGTGAAAGGGACCCTTTTGGAAGGGTAAACAATGTCCATGCATGATGCATTGCTAGTTATTTCATTTGTACTTGGTAGTTGGTACCATGTTCAATGCCAGTTCTCATTCTTTTTATTGTTGTCACAAACTTATATACACCTTTACATTGGTTGCTTGTAATGCATAAGTATTTATTTCTCCTTGTAGGATATTCCTTCAACCCCTTGCCTACCAAAAGGGGTTATTCGAGGATGTACTGAATGTAAAACATGTCAGAAGGTAGTTCAACATCATCATGTCTCTTCTTGCTCTTTCTTATTGCTCTGGGAGGACTCGTTAATTATTACTAAGTTGAATGCTGAGTCTCATAACAGGTCATAGCAAGATGGCATCCACAAGATGCGTGCAAGCCTACCCTTGATGAAGCTCCTGTATTCTATCCAAGTGAAGAGGTTCGTGTTGTCTATTAAAAGATTTTTAAAGCCTAGGCTGATAATTTAGTCCTTTGAGCATACATTGTTTTAGTTGACTGCTTATTTTGGTTTTATGAACAGGAATTTAGAGATACCCTGGAATATATTTCAAGTGTTTGCCAAAGAGCCGAAAAGTATGGAATTTGTCGAATTGTTCCACCCTCTTCTTGGAGACCACATTGCCTTCTCAAAGAGAAGAATGTGTGGGAAAATTTAAAATTTACAACTCGTGTTCAGCCAGTGGACAAACTTCAAAATCGTGATTCTTTGAAGAAGATCAATGGAAACCATAACATTATGAGGACAAAAAAACAAAAACATCAGGAATTGAGGGATAATAGTGATGAGAATATTACAAAAGTTAATCGACAAAGGTACCATAACAGTTCGGAGAGGTTTGGATTTGAAACTGGTCCGGATTTCACTCTGGAAACATTTCAAAAATATGCAGATGACTTCAAGGAGCAGTACTTTCACACAAATGCAGACTTTGATGTAATATCTGGTCAACAGGAACCATCAGTAGAGAATATTGAAGGTGAATATTGGCGGATAGTAGAGAAGTCAACTGAGGAGATTGAGGTGCTATTCTAGGTTTCACAAACCGTAACGGATCTTGTTGTGCATGAGTGTTTCTGTTGATTATAGTATTATGAGATGCATTTCATACTTAGCATAAAATTGCAAAAATATTTGGACTTGTCTCTTCTTCCAATACATGTGTTCTTTACAATGAGATGAAGTTTCTTACTGATAGAAAATTAGTACATATTAATTGACAAGAGTGCTGTTATCATGCTAGCTCAAGGAATAATAACTTGTATATATTTCTTGACTTTTGGATTTTGTTATTTTGACAGTTTAAGAATATTGCATTAATCAAAACTACTGATTTTATCCGCTTGATATGCCTTGATCTATTATGGTAAAGTTCCTTTTTTTAGGTACTCTACGGTGCTGATTTGGACACAGGCGTTTTTGGCAGTGGTTTTCCCAAAGCATCATTCTCTTTACAAAATTCTGAAATTGATGATCAACATATAAATTCTGGTTGGAACCTAAACAACCTAGCTCGGCTTCCAGGCTCTATGCTATGTTTTGAAAGTGGAGAGATTCCTGGTGTTCTAGTGCCATGGTTGTATATAGGAATGTGTTTTTCCTCATTTTGTTGGGTAAGATTGTTGATCTTCAGTTATTATTACAAAAGTAATGTCTTTTGCATCTGGTGAATCTTTTCTTATCTAGGAACGGTTAGACCTTGTTACAATTTTCTGGTTTATGTTATAACTGTTACCTTTTTTTTCCTACAGCATGTTGAAGATCACCACTTATACTCATTGAATTACTTGCACTGGGGTTCTCCCAAAATTTGGTATGGGGTCCCAGGAAAATATGCGTCAAAGTTAGAAGATACTATGAAAAAGCATCTACCAGACCAATTCGAAGAACAACCAGACTTGCTTCACAATCTTGTAATAACTTTTTGCCTTATGTTTTCTCTCTGCAAGAATGTTATCTTGGGAAGATGATGTTTTCTAGCTTATTTTCTGTCAGAAATTCAACTGGAAAATATTCAGCATGTCTGGTATATACTTCATAGCTAACTACAAGTTTATATCATTTTAAAATGACTACTTTCTGTCTGATCCTCTTTTCTAGGTAACCCAATTTTCACCCTCACTGTTAAGATTAGAAGGTGTACCTGTTTACCGGTGTGTTCAGAGGCCAGGAGAGTTTGTTCTCACTTTCCCTCGGGCTTATCACGCTGGTTTTAATTGTGGATTCAATTGTGCAGAAGCTGTAAATGTGGCTCCTCTTGATTGGTTACCTCATGGGCAGAATGCTGTGGAACTTTATCGTGAACAGGGACGAAAAATATCAATATCCCATGACAAGTTGTTGCTAGGAGCTGCAAGGGAAGCTGTTAGAGCCCACTGGAATTTACTGTTCTTCAGGAAAAACCCCTCAGTTAATGCAAGATGGAAAAAGTTTTGCTCATCAGATGGCATCCTTGCAAAGACACTTAAGGTGAACTTTATACTTGACATAATTATGCTGTTCTTCAGTGTCCTCACAACTAATTTCTTTGTTAATTAGGCACGCATTGAGATGGAATGCATGAGAAGAAAATACCTTTGCTCATCTCGGTCACAGAAAATGGATACTGATTTTGATTCTAATAATGAAAGAGAATGTGTTCTGTGCCACTATGATTTGCATCTTTCTGCTGCTAGTTGTCTGTGTTCACCAGATAGGTTTGCTTGCCTGATTCATGCAAAAAATTTATGCTCGTGTGCTTGGAACACGCGGATATTTTTATTCCGTTATGATACCAGAGAATTGAATGTCCTATTGGATGCTTTGGGAGGGAAGCCGAGTGCAGTTCATAGATGGGGCAGTTTTGATCTTGGGCTAAGCTTGAGTTCATACATCTCAAGAGAGAAAACACATGAACCAAATCTTATAGGTATGACTGACAAAGAAGGAAGAGAGCAAAAGGATATTGAACCTGTTACAAAGGAGCCTAGCCTTGGGATGGACAAAAATTTTGATTTGGGAAATCCAAATATGACCTCATCATCCTTTTTGGATCAGCAACTTTTATCGGAAGGTCCCCAGAACACCACTTTGCTGCAAAACAATTCTAAATCAATGGGTGAGGTAAAGAAATTCAGCTCCTCACTTTCTAAGATATCTGGGATAGAACTGATTGAATCTTCTGCTGAGAAGGTTGCTATCTTATTAAATGGTAATGAACATAAAGGTACAAATGGAGTGGTATCGGATAAAATGACTGCAGAGTCCCCAGAAAAGAACACTGACATGTTTTCAAGGCAGACAGATTGTGATGATAAGACAACTTCCCATGCTCACAAGGATAAAATTCTTTTAGTGCCCCAGACTAATGTGTTGTTGGCAAACGAAAAAGATCTGTTGGCTGGCCCGGAAGTTTCTCGTAATAAGTTAAAGGTGATACTGGTTGATGATGATGAGCAGGTAGAGGAAAACTGCAGAGAGGTTCTCTCCAATTTACATGGTCAACAGTTGTTTGAATTCCTTCCTGGAAAGGAAAGTGAATGCGTGAGATCTTCTGCCAGAGTAACTTTTGCAAAACAAAGTGCAGATATGTTGCCTGAAAATGAAGCATCTGATTGTGGTACTGAACCTATTCATCTTCAAATTATCCAGAATTATGGAAGAGGAGAACCAGAAGATAAAAGAAAGAAGGTACAATCTGAGTTCAACTCTGAGGTTAACCTTGATAGAAGCAATTCATCTACTGAAATCCAACCTTGTACACAAAGAAATCTTGATATATGTAACTATGAGAAGATGGGCCCTCAAATGGAAAAGGTGGTGAAAATAAGTAATTGCAATATTGAGGTTTTGGTGTATGGTATTGTGCTTTCTGGAAAATTATGGTCCACGTGCCACCGCATATTCCCAAAAGGTTTGTTTGCAAGTCACTTTATTATGTGTCTGCAAGTTGTTGATGTTGGGAACAGAATGCTAGATGCATTTCAGCAAAGGTTCTGCTGGAGTTGAAAGTTTCTCTGGACCTAAAATTTTTCTTGTTATTGTGTACTTTTGCTTTTTGTCTCTTCATTCTCCTGATATTTGTCTCATTATGCAGGATATAGAAGTCGAGTTAAATACATTAGCATTTTAGATCCAACGCAGATGTGTTACTATATATCTGAAATTTTGGATGCTGGATTACTTGGGCCTCTATTTATGGTGAGTAATTTTGTCTCTTTGTACCTATTTCACTGTTTATGTCAATCATGCATCCAGAAATAGTACATGATGTTAGATAAAGAAGCATCATTATAAGTTATTATCACAGTATAAGCATGACACATTATCACAGTATAATCAAACTCCAAAGATATTCCATCAACAATTGAATTGTTCATCTTTCTGACATGTTATTATTAATTTGAAATAGTAATTTTGTGAATCCAGCAAGGAAAATTTTAAAGTTGCAGGGCTTTCTAACAGATTCCTGCAACATCAGGTTGTGGTTGAGCAATGTCCAAGTGAAGTGTTTCTCCATGTTTCTGCCACCAAATGCTGGGATATGGTGAGAGAGAGGGTGAACCAGGAAATTCAAAAGCAACAAAAGATGGCAACGCTTAATCTCCCTTCCTTGCAGCCTCCAGGATCAGTTGATGGTCTTGAAATGTTTGGTTTATTATCACCAGCAGTTATACAGGTTAGTCTCTTTTTGATATTATCTCTTACTGTTACAATGTTTCCTATGCCTATCTGCTTTTGTCATGATTTCTTTTTCTTTATTTCATTTTCAACGATGTACTAGATTAGTGAATGAAGATTTGTATTATCTTTAACAAACATTTTTTCATATTTATAAGTTTTTGAACCCTTGGAATTGAAGAAAACTTGGTATACATGTATGCTTTATTCTAGTATTTAAAAAGGCAGCCATGTTATGTGGGCATTTTAAGCTACTGTGTATGCATTTTGCGGTGGTACAGGGTAGCATTTGGCTCAGTATCTTGGTACCATAATGGTTTGATGTTATTGAAAGTTGAAAGTTGAAACTGTTATCAGATCATGATTTAAAGTTTACTTGAGAGCAATAGCGCCCAGCAATGTATATGGTTCACATGATCTTTGCAGTCTGGACAAGTCACCCTTATATTTATATGGATGCATGAGACACTAAAAAAAATGTGGTACTGACCAATACAATTACTAAATCTTGTATTGGTATGACATAGGATATGTACAGTGTGGTCTGCATACTAATGCATAATTTCATAGATGTAGTGTTTCATTTGTTTTTTATAATACTTTGTGTTTCATTATAACATGAAAACTACATTTTTATATAACTATGATGTCACCTATGATGAAAATCTGAGTATAAATGTCATCTTCCATTTGTTACAGAACAAATTATTTAGGGTTAAGATTCATTTTAGCCCTTGTGATTTTAGTCATGGGCCTCTTAAGTCCTTATAGTTTATTCGTGTCTAAAATAACTCGTACATTTTAAAAAACGTAGCATTTATCTCCCTCCCGTCAAGTCTGAGTTAACAAATGTTAGAGTCTGCTTACGTGACATGTTGACTCACAATAAATTATTAATATAATGACATGTGTAATTGAGGGTTAAGGTCCAATTTAGCCCCTATGATTTTGGTCATGGACCTCTTAAACTCTTATGATTTACTCGTGTCTAATATAACTCCTATATTTTAAAAAATATAGCATATAAGTCTCTCTCGTCAAGTTTGAGTTAACAGACATTAGAATCTGTTTATATGACATGCTAACTCATAATATACCATTAATATAATGACACGTGTAATTTAAGTTAAAAAAAATTGAGACCTCCATTAATGGCGGGAGGAAGCGTTGTTGTGGAAGCGACCAGCAGTAGCAGCACTAAGCCGTTGTTGTCTAGTAGGGCGTCATACGAATGCAGCCTCTCCTGCACTGACGATGAGCTAAGCTTCCGGTCCTGCCTCAGGTGGATGTGCTCGCCACCACGAACGACACCTACTCCGATCCCGACGAGTACCACGATACCTTAAAGCCACCTCCACCGCGAAGCATGGCATCACGAAGACAGAGAGCATACGGAAGGAACGGTTAAGCTGGTCCATGTAGCCCTCCCGCACTCTCTCTCCCCGACCATCTTGTCGAGGAAGAGGAAGTGACGGACGAAGGCATAGCGGCAGAGGTAGGAGAGGTCAGAGGTGGAGGTAAGGGAGAGCTGGACTATCACGTCGTAGGCATGGCGGGTGAGGGTGTAGGAGAGGACGAAGTGGGAGGCGGTGTGGATGAAGATGCTCAAGAGGAGGAAGAGGGACCGAGAGACCACTGCGTGACTAGTGTCGGATTGGTTGACGCACATCCACTTGAGGTAGGACCGGAAGCTTCTGAGCTCGTTGTCAGCATGGGAGAGATTGCGTGCATATAAATGCCCTATTAAGCAGCAACGACTCGGTGTTGCTGCTAGTGGTCGCTTCCATGACGACGTCTCCTGCCGCCATTGATGGAGATCTCAATTTTTTTAACTTAAATTATATGTATTATTATATTAATGGTTTATTGTTAGTCAACATGACATGTAAGTAGACTCTAACACCTGTTAACTCAAACTTGACGAGATAAGCTTATATGCTACGTTTTTTAAAATATATAGGTTATTTTAGACATGAGTAAACCATAAAGGTTTAAGAGGTCTATGACGAAAACCGTAGGAGCTAAAATGAACCTTAACCTTAAATTACATATGTTATTATATTAATGATTTATTATAAGTTAGCATACCACGTAAGCAGACTCTAACATCTGTTCACTCAGACTTGACGGGAGGGGCTTATATGTTACGTTTTTTAAAATGTAAGGATTATTTTAGACACAAGTAAACCATAAGGGTTTAAGAAGTCTATGACTAAAACCATATGGACTAAATTGGACCTTAACCCAATTGTTTATGATCTTACACAGAGTTAGTTGCCCTATGAAGCTATATAGGACATGATAGTATAAAACTTCCAATTACTAATTTTGATTTTTTTAATATCATAGGACTGTAGAAAACAAATTACAAGGCTTTTAAGATTATATAAAACCTTGAGAATTAAGTAAAATACAAAACAAATTCTAGATTTAGATATGCAGACATATACAAATAGTGATTATGTCATATGTTTAAAATTCATTTATCTATAGATAAAAATAATAGGATTATGTGATACTTAGAGCATATTAAATCATAAACAAACAAATCAGGGTGTATGAAATCAAATATACAATGTTGAAAATTTTCTAATGTAAATGGACATGGACCTCATTCATATACATATTAAACTAGCTAAGGATGCTTGTGAAAATGGACATGGATCTCATTCATATTCATGAGAACAATTATATTACAACTCTGCATCATCATTGTTACTAACCAAAGAAAAATTCCAACTATGGTAGTAGGGCATTGCATACAAAATAGTAAACTGAAGCCCCTTTTTCTCACAAAGGAGAATGTATGTATGACCAAAGGATTATGACCACACTTCATCCAATATACAAAGAGAAGCATCATACAAGTAATTATGCTGACAAACCAAAAACAAGTTATTTTAATTGAATACTGGTAGTTGGTAAGAAATTTTCTTTTTTATGAATCTATTTGAATAGTATCTTTCAATTATCTTCCATGTCATATCAATTCTGATTATCTGGTAGATGCAGTTAACTATTTATACTCTGACAACTCATGCTGGCCAAGTGTCGCTTGATGTTTCACCACATCAAGGTGCAATGTTGTCGAAGTTGTTAAAGGCAAGGTTAGCACAACCGAGGGGATTTAGGTGGTTATAATCGGCTGGAGGTTAACAAGATTGATGTCAGGCTTGAGGTCAATGTTTAGGGGTGATGGTCACCCGTTCATTGTTGTGGTCGCAATAATTGAAGACATGGCAAAGGCATACAATTTTGAGGGTCTTAATGTGGACTCAGACAAGTAGTGATTGCTGACTGAGGGTCAGCATCTGCATTTATATGCTATGGTGGGTGAAACAACTTCTGGTAGAAAGGGAGGTATTGTTAGGGGCGAGATTGGCTTTTGGAACAGAACAATGAACAAAAAAGGAAACCATCAAGCTGCAGAGGAAAAAGAAAAGGTAATTTTAGGATTTTGGGATATCACATGAGGTGGATACTTGAATTTCTTCCGTCTTCTAAGAATGTTATTTTTTTCCTTGAACTTTCGTTCTTCCCTATCAAAGTAAATCCATAGTGCCAATCCCAGTGTCATTGTTGAAGGTATTGGCATGTTTACTTGTTTACATCAGAATTTGTAACACAAAATTCTTTTTGTCCTTATCATACCAGAAGACATTGAAAAACCAAAAGACATGAGCACAATTATCTTTGTGTCATATCAACTTAGTTTTAAAACCATTTAATGTATCTTTTATCAGTCTACAGAAAAGCAAACTCAATTCTAGTGGTTACTTGGCTTTATGATGCAATTGACAAATAGCAACATACATACACATGATTACCTCTTTGCATCTATTTCTAAATAGATTTATAATTCGAACCTTCTTAAACTGCCTTTTGTATCCTACTGATGTTGTACCTTAGACTGTATCATAACCAAAGCTTTTACAGACCTATGTTTCATCAAATGTGGCCTCTGGCACATATCAACATGGAAAGGAGAATATTTGACTTGCCTTTAGAAATTATCATTGGATTCTTCACACTCTTGAGGCAGCTGAAAGCAAACATGTCTTGATGGCATCTAACTACATTTAGTGCTATGTTTTCAGAAGGGAGGATTTCAAGGTTTATTGGGACATATAGGAGAGTTTCATTTTTATATGGTATATAGGAAACTGAAAATTGCTCCTTGATAGAAGTTGCTAATAGAATATAATGCTAATTTTAAATTTTGAATTTGGTTTAACAATGTATTCAATTGATAGAATATTGGTCAAATTGTGGCTGGACAATTAGGATGGGCCAAGTTGTCTCATGCAGTGAAGATGGGTCAATTTATGTTAGGCATACAAATTAAGCTGAGAAAATTCTGTCCCCAAATTGGAATTGAGATACATGACAAATGGGTTGGTTGGATTATCTACTGAATGGGTTGGCAATTGATATTTTCTATGTATGCTATATTATCATTACAAGAAATTCTTGGTTCGGGCAAGTTGGGCCTCACTTGACATTCAAGTGGGTCAAGTACAAGGATGATGGTTCAGTCTTGATTTGTCATCTTAGCTTAAATGGTTGGATCGAGTTTGACTTAGTAGGTCCAGCTGATGATTGCCACCTTCAAAATATTATAGGTGCTCCACATATCACAACAAGCTGCACCGATGGGTGCAACTTGTTTGACTTGAAAACTATTTATCGAAGTTAATAACTAGTTATGTTTGTTTGACCTGAATCTCTTTATTGAGCTGATAATTAGTTGTGTTTGTATGAACTAAACAAACTTAGTCAACATTTCCTTTCAAATATTTGTTGAATTTGAGAATATATGTATATATATATATATATTTGTTTGACATCGTTCTTTATTTTTAATCCATTGAGCTTTTTAACACTACCTTATCTATTATCTTTTTTAAGTTCTTCCACTCACGCTGATCATTCGAGCCAAGCTGAAGAACTGCCTCTTGATTCGTCTCAGGCAATCGAGGAGCTTGATTGCAATCATGTCTGCACAGAGTACTGGACGGCCACGCCGAATGCATCGAACCAATCTGATATAGCTATCATGGCAACAGATCACAGGCCTAGTGTTCGTCCTACCGAGCAACACACTCCACCGCAGCCTGCCGCCTCAAAATTGGCTGTGAGGTGTCTCTTCAAGAAAGCCAACCCGGAGGAGCTGCATGCTTTGCGAAGTCTATTACCAGATAATGATCTTGCAAACGCCTCTCTTCAAGAACTTGTCCAACTTATAAATGATGAAATTGCATGTCGTCTCTCCCGACGGAAGCATCCAAAATACTGAACATGTTTGAATTCTTCCCGTCTGTCTGTCCCGACCTCAAATCACATTTGTGTTTCTGTCTCGGAAATCCAAGATTATTGTATATATATTACATCGAATTCATTTTTGTTAGCTGTCTTTCTATTGGAATGTGAGAAATACTTTACAGGATCGGAAGGTCCATAACTTTCTGCTCTCCCTGTCCACTTTCTTGTACCAGTTGACAACCAAAACAAGCAAAAGGAAAAGGCCTCTGCAGTCCCACCAACCTGCACAGCAGATGATGATATCGTGATGGTGAAAGCTTAGCAGTAGGAAGTGTTCTGACGAGTGAGGAGAGTGTGCAGACGGGTACAAACCTACAACCTACAGTGTGTAGCTGCCAGCGGCGCCATCCAATCCATCTCGCACTTCAACTTTACTGATACCAACAGTTCGCTCTGTACTTCGTGTACAGTCTCAGTCTCAGCATCAGAAGAGAGAGAGAGAGAGGAAGAATGATATTGTGGACATAAATAGAAAGGGAGGAGGGAGACTGACAGAGCTTGACACAAACTGGACGTACAACCCGGTCAAACTCAAAGCCATGGACGCATGCGTCTCTCCACTGCTCCTCTGTACGACGTAGCCATGGAGATAAAAATGGTGTGGCTCCTAAACAAAAGCTGATGCCATGAAGCTTGACACAAGTGTAGTCTCATAGACTAGCTGCTGTCCTTCCAACTTCAACTTTACTGGTACATCAGAAAGGCACCACTTCCTCGATCAAAGAAAAAGGAAGAGAAAGATGACTCTGATTCACGAACTGCGCCTGTGTACTTGTGCTGCAGACTACAGCCTCAGCTTCATCATCGAATAGTAGCCCAAATAGTAGTGAAGCAGAAGATAGATTGACCAACTTGTGGACATATATAGAAAGGAGGAGGGAGAGTGATGGACGACACATTACCTGCTTCCCCCGCCCTCCCCCCCCCCCTTCCCCTGTCAACACCACACACCATGTCGTCTCAAGCACCGTTTTGTCACCCGTCAAGAACGCCACAAAGAGAGCCTTCTTTGTCTTTCAGCTCGTTTGAAGAATTGTATACACTTACTTTCTATTGATATATATCATGAGCAGATATAGGCAAGCAAAGAAGATCGAAGTCCATTCGATCATCCTATCCTCACATGTTGTTGGACTGTAATAAAAGACCAGCAGCAGATCCACAATGTCAGATGTTATTTCACATCAATGAGGGTTTTGCTATGTGAGGATAGAGAAGGTCTTGTCGACCATATTAAATGTGAGAGTTGGGATTCACGAGTTTGGAGATGATTCAAACTGCGAGGGCACATTTCTGCAGCATATGGACATGCTTTTCCTGTACATTCTTGACCTAAAACACCTGTTCCAGCCATGTAGTCAATGATTCCTTCAACAAGAATTCTTGACCTTGACTTCTTGTTCTTGATCTTCTCTGGGATAGGCATGTCAAAGGGATCAAATCCATTTGATGGTTCTATGTTGATCCCAATAAATCTCGAGTTACTCGTTAGACCAATGGAAATTTCATGGGTGATGAGAAGAAAAGAGTTAAACAGTACATTCCATAGATTACACTTGAACAAAATGTATGAATATAGTCATCAAAATTGAGTATTGTAACTCTCATCTAAATTTTCTATAATCTCTCTCTCTGTCTCTCTTCTTACCACTTGAAAGATGTCTTCACATCAGATACATATAACTAAAACCTGTGCAGGACTGCTTGACAGCGAAGCAAATTTGGATCAGGCACACAGTAGGTGAGCTCTTGCTTCCAGAACAAGCGTCATGTTCCATCATCTTGTCGTTCTCTGCTTTGCTTCCACGTATACCGTATCATCTTCCATGTTTGGAGGTCATCGTTTAAAGTCATGGTCGGATGATTCCACCAAAAGTATCCATCCCTCGAGGTTGCAAGCATAATAAGCGACGAAGTACACACCTCACCTACCAAAACAAGATCCGAAGACTCAATGGTCATTCTTTGAGGTGACTGAGTTGTATGGTCGAGCCGATGACAGTGGGAGTGGTGATCAGAGCGAATCTGATGTTTTACTTGACTACTCGATCTCCTTTCGTTTGTTTTCTTGCCATGATTAGCGGCGTCACATCCATCGTCTTCCTGCGTGAGAAGGAAGCCTCTTCGGAACCCTACTCTTTATAGGGTGGCTCAAATGGGACGAAGGGCCGTTTTCTTTGAAGCGGAGGATTCGGCTCATTCGGTCATGGTGTTCCTACCAAGAGGGTGACGGACGTCATCGTCCCCATCCATCTTCATGGAGCTCATCAAGGCTCCATGGATGGATGTTTCCACCATGACTGCAATAATTTCTTTTGGGTTTAGTTCATGAATATATTTTTAATTTATATATAACGAAAAAAAATATCGATTTATTTTCATAGAGCACTCAATAAGAAAAAAAAAGATAATTAAATAAAAAAATTGATAAATTATTGACTTACGCGATCTAAGAAAATAAAAAATATGATTATACAATTTCATCTAATAAATATTTTATATGTCATTTAATATAATAAAAAATTCTTAGAAAAAATAAATAATTTTGAGTAATACTCAATTCAATCTCTTCTTCAAAAATACATACATACATACATACATATATATCGCTTCGGAGTTAATAATTTTATATTAACACTCTAAATTTAAGTTTAGTAGCAAATATCAAATAGATAATCTCTATTGTTAACAAATTAAAATAAAATTCAAATTGACTTTAATAGTGCCTTATAAATATTGGGAAATTAAATATTAGGAATCGAATGAAAGTTAATTATAAAAGGAATTTTAGGCAATTAAAACATGAGTTATATGCTTTATGGACAATTAGAAGGGGTTGTAAAAGTGAATGAAGTAAAAGGGATAGAATAAAGTACAAAAACTGTTTTTTGACTTTTTAATTTTATTTCTAACATAATAATATAAAAAGAAAAGAAGTGAAGAGTTTATGCTTACCATTTTCAGTGGCAGCGCTTTGATGAGAGAGAGAGAGAGAGAGAGAGATGAGAGTTGGCAGCGTGGAAAGGATGCTGGTATGATATATCGTCAACCGTGAAGTGTGAGCAGTACATTCCCTCGAAGGAAGCTGCTGCTGCTGCTGCTGCAAGTGCCCGCTTTGGCGCTCTCAAATGAAAAGCTCAGCTCCCTGAAAAGAAAAGCAGCAGCATTTGTTTTAGGGAAGACTTCAATGTACATCTGGACTCTCTCTCTCTCTCTCTCTCTCTCTCTCTCTTTCTCAGTGTCTGTGCGTATCTTCCTCCCTGAAACAAGAACAGTATCTAAACTTCCACAGATGATGTATACGCCAGGTTTTATTTTTAACCATCACACACTCACATATGTAAGCATAAAATGTTAATTAGTTTCCATGATATTTAATGAAATATTTCTTAAAGTCTTTTCATGTTTTCATGATTTATGAATATGATTCTGGAGCAAGTAAATTGGATAGCACACAGGTATAAAAGAGAAGGATCACAATGCATTTGGTTGTGATTGAATACATCATTTCTTTTCATTATAGAGATGTATTCTTTTCTTGTTCTCTAGGTGATGAACAACTCAAAGAGTTACAATCAAATGGGAGTAATCAAACACAAGCAAATAAATTCCAAGAGTGAGCATAATATAAGCCAAAGTTGTTTCTTTGATTTGATCTCCAACTCAACCATGTCAATCTTATAGAGGTATTATATCATGACAATTGCACATCAATCAAATCATAACCTTAGGCCAACAAATTACAAACAAATTAAACCCCAATCTCCAGCCAAACTCTTTTGTTCCCTAAGCCATGCCAGAAAATGGAACCATGAAACACTGCAAACAACACACCAATCTTGTGCTTATTTCCAGAGTAAAGATTACTACTAAATGTCCTAACAATATAAAATAATCTAACTGGGAACTTGAGCAGTAAGCTGTTTGGCCACATGGTTAGTAGTACTCCAACCTTGATAAAATGACAGCATTTATTGCCCTGGGATTGTGACATGTAGAGAACATGGCTAGTTTAAATTAAGAAATTATTATCTAAATATTTTTACCAGTTTCATTTAAAAGATAGGAAAAGCATTGCTGATGATCATTAGCATAACAGATTCAGAATGATTTATTGATTTCAATTTGGTATTTAGTAGCGAAAGAAATGACAGGAAGAATGAAAGCCTGGACAGTGTGCTAAGCAATCATATGAAGACCATCAAACATCATAAACATCCCAATAGTAACACATAAGAAAATTCAAAGTATTATTTTGTTTACACAAACATAAAGTCACCTAAGATTTATGTGCCCAGTCAGTCATTTCTAAAGTATGCAAAATAAGACATACCATCAGAAGAAGTTTTCTTTTTCTGTGATCAATCTGAAAAACATTTTCTACATCAAAACAATGTGTAAAATTACTTCCCTTTAAACAATCATCAGTAAACATGTTTGTAAAAGAAAATGATTTCCTACAAATTTTTCTATGCAACTAAGCAAGAGGAATAAGAACTGTCAGCATATCTTGAATACATAGAACACATAATGGTCTACATGGGAGAGCCAAAAAAAAGCAACAGAACAATTTTGGCCTCCATGCTTTATGAATGGTGACATGTTTTTGCCTAATTTTTTTTTCTTTCTATTTCTCTCTCAAATAATTTCATGTTTCTTTCGCAATCCGGGATAAAACATTACCGATATACATTTACCGCGAATATCGACTAACAATTAGCATACGAAAACAACAAGAGAAACCTATTCTAAGAAAAGCCACCTTACATCTGTTACTTCAAGACTCCATTCACTTATCTACATATGAATAAGCTTATCAAACTTCGATCTACCGTGCCCGAACACTTGTTCACATGTTAAGCATGATTTGTTCTTCATTTTCTCAGTATCTTAAATTGTAAGTGATATCACATTTATAATATAGCATGGATATGTCACAAATTAAGTCACATAAGTGCCTTGTTTTAAATTAGGAGTATAATCTTCCAAGTATGCACATGTACTTAACAAATCTAAGATGGTCAAACAAAAAAATTGGATGTCAAAAGGTCAACACAAGCATAATCTAAATGGGTTATGTGAGAGAAACTTGGTAATACATTATCTTGTGGGGATTGCTCAGAATATTAAGCTTAAAAACAAATGGAAGGGAAAAAGGATAAGAACATTTTTGACATTCATCAATGATTGCTGTAAATTTCATGAGAAATGATATTTATGAGCTTGTAACCAAGTGAAGATAGTAGTAATCAAGAGAAGTCAGGACATTTTAGTATCATCATTCTACTTCTAAATATTGCACTTTAGGGTAACCAAATTCATCTGATAATATGACTCAAACTAAACTTGTTTAACATTGCCATAGAACCTTTGTCTATACCATAACATGCATAATTAATGCTGCATATAAGCTATCTAATTAATGGAAGCAATAATGTGATGAAGTGATTGATCCCTAATGACATGCATGTTCAAGTTTTCATCAATGATGCCATATCAGAAACTTCATAATGGTTAGAACACCATCTTCTCTAATGTAGAATTGGATATAAAGGAAATATTGGTCACAGATTCTAGGATATGGAAGAAAGCAGATGCACTGAGATTCACATGCACAAAGCCCTAGAAAGTGATATGAGTAGAAAAGAACACACATAAGTAGTTCTTTAGCTTCAACTTATGACATGCTAACAATGGTGTTGATTAACTATGAAGTTTGAGGAGATATCATCATCTTACTGGAATATTAGCACCTCAAATAGCATAAATATATTTTACACAGATTTCACATAATACCGAAGAAATGGATGCAACTTTACTCAACATTCAATATATATTATTCTAGGCTAAAGGAACAAAACATCTTGTAATATGTGGTAGCAGCATGCACTAAGTTCTAAGGAAATCCACTAGCTATGTTAAGAGAAAAGTGAGAGAGCATGGAGAGAATCCCATGAAATCCCAATGCATTGCTTACTTCCTTGTAAAGTGAAACCAGTGACACACTAATCATATATTTCTTTTCCCCCTTTAAAAGGTGAGACCTTTTGTTCTCTATAGGAAGCACAAGAAATCCAGCAGAGATCAAAAGCCAACTCCAAATTCAATTAGTTTCGAGAACACAAATAAGATGGAAACCAATATCTGATTGTGAATGAGCCAATTTCATGCACTATCCAACATTAGAAACAAACAGAGATAGAAAGAGATGATGATCAAATCTAAACCCTGTCATGGTTGAGATCTCCGGTACAGATGAACCATCAGTTCAAAGCACAGTGCATTAACATGACTTCAGGTACCAATGCTAATATCATATATGATGAGCTAACCCTACTCCTCGTACTCCTCCACCTTATGCTAATCTAGTGAGAGTATGAGCTACATAAATTAACCCCTGCAAGCCACAAAGCATAGAATATAGAGTACTTCGAGTCTAAGGTTCACTGGAACGACCGACTGACCTAAGGACTCAGTCGTAGATACAATAAGGAAGAGAGATATATATTATGGTTGAGATACCGACGGATCAGGTGGCTGCACCAGTGGCCGGCGAAGGACTGTGGGGGTGGGGCGGACGTGGCTGTGGCTGCGGCTGTGGTTGGGGTGGCGGTGGCTGCTTCTTGCGCTTCTTCTTCTCGTAGCTGATGCCTCGGGCTTTGGACTGCATCTCCCGGATCTCGCGGAGGTATAGCCGGACGGCTCGTGCACCGAAGGGGTTGGCCTCAGGCTTGCCGCCGTTCTCCTCGAACGCAGCACGGAGGCGGCCGATGAGAGCGTCGAGGGAGCCCCAGGCTTGGCGGAGGGGGCACGGGCATGGGGAGGGCGGGTTGGGGTGGCCAAAGAAGGGGCACATGGGAGTGTGCACCTTTGTCTTACCGAACTGGTCCAGGTACCGAAGGAACTCCAGCACATGCGCGCCGCTGCACCGCGACAGTGACAGCGGCGGCCTGTGATTCTTCAAGTACTGCCCGAAGGTGTTCCAGTCGCGTCGCTTCTGTGACTCGTATCGGCTCAGCGACGGGGAGGCGGCTGAGGCCGCCGGTGAGGTGACCGCGGCAGCGGGTGACGAGCTGGGGCTGGTGAGGAAGCCATCGGAGCGAGGGCTCCCCGGCTTGGGTACCATGGCCATGGTGCCAACAGTTTCACCTCTCTGCTTCTTCCTGCAAACAGGATGTGATGGAGCAATATAGGGTACTCTTAATTTGAACTGCTTCAAGCTGATACTAATTGACCTCGTAGTTGCCGATAATGATGATGGGATGATGATTACACGACTGATCTAATGCATGAGAGTTTTGATGCTAATGGATTTCTTTCCTTTTTAGTCCATGAGAGAGAGAGAGAGAGAGAGAGAGAGAGAGAGAGAGAGAAGGTGAAGAAGCTATGATTCAACGACTGGGAGTGGGCATGGGAACTCCTAGTTCCATTAAAGTGGTCCTGTCTGCAGCTGCTAGATCTCCTTTTGGCATATATGTAGCGATGTGGCAATCTCTAAGGCAGTGCGATCTCCCAACAAGTCCAGAGAGATTCTTAGATAGGAGAGACAGAGGATGGCTTGTGATCAGAGGTCACAGATCAGGGCGTCGATGTGGGAGATGAGATCTGTGGGGGGAGAGTCGCATCTCGAATCTCACTCTTCCTTTCTCTTCAAGAAAACATGAGTTGGTCAGGCGTCGGAGCTCGTACTTGCAAGTCGGAGTGCTGGATGGGTATGCCTGGGGATGACACTCAGCCCCTTCCCTATAGGAGGCCAACTCTGACCTAAACAGTGCCATTTTTAGCATGATCTTTCACAGTGGGAAGAGAGAGAGCGCTCTGCGGAAGCCACTCTAGACAACGAGATGAAAGATAGACGGTGACGGGCGAAAACGCCAACAAGTTGTGAACTCCCTCGCGTACTCTGTGTCGAAGGACTGGGCCCCACGGTGGGCCCGCGCACGGTCGACCGTGTCGCCTTTTCCCGATCACTGCGCGAGTAAGTGGGTGACCTGTTTACGGGGGGGTTCAGGATCCCCTCCATTCCCACCCTTGATCATGACCGTCCGTTACATGAATCCGAGGGCTTGGAGAAGATTTTGAAGCTGAAACGGTTGGAGAGGATCCGGAAACGGTGAAAGATGTCAGTGGCATGTTCGGGGATGCAGTCAGTGCAGGAACTTTTTTGTCAAAATGACCAAAATGCCTCGACGCATTGCCATTCTTCGATTGAGTACACATCATGTGAACTTAGGAACACCACGCATAATCGATCATGACATGATGGGTTCATACATGGTGATCATCCAAGCAGGGATGACCATCCAAGATTTTGACCCTGATCTCAAATGTGTTGACTATGAACTCCTAGATTTACATTCGAATGTCACATCATTACAGATATTTTATCAGCCCAACATACATATAAATCATGTGTCTTATTAGTTCGACACGTATAACGTGTGACCCACGTAGTCGGCACAAAGGCACCAACCCTAATATTCAATGATTTAGATATCTCCCTTACATCACACTCCAACAATCTCACGAAATCACTCCCTTACATCAACTCCTCACTTGATCATAGAGCTCTCTGGACTCGAATCTTACATCAGTCTCATTAGTTGAGGAGATATTTATTGGGCACACTCCCAATTTAAATAGATCAAAGAAAAATATACATTCACAAAAAACAAAATCTCTATCCATAATCATTTCTAGGTCAAATTGCTACCTTGGTTTCCAAATACAAACTCAAACCAGATTCAGGTGAATATTTTCTCTGGATAGACATGAGTTATCATCAAAATCTTCCTATTGCAGAATAACACATCTTTGTCGATAAATAATGATGAAAACAACATGTAAGTTCTTAATTTTAGATGTGTCGATAAATAATGATGAAAACAACATGTAAGTTCTTAATTTTAGTTAGATGAAGACAAACTACATGATTGTGATACGGAGGGTATTGCATTCATTCCATGATCAAAGTATAAGATCAACTGAGATGTACCAAAAAGAGATTCTGCTAAACCACATATGTAACACAAACGAACACCAAAGGTAGGAAAATTTCTTGGAATCGTTAAAATGAAAGCATTTGACTTCCGATTCTGGGTTTGTTCGTTCATAACAAATAGAATACAATTGCAGCAGTTTGCTACTAGGTGCTTAATTTCAGCGCATGTATTGAGCATCCAGCACAATTCATCAGTCATGAGAAAGGACTCACGGAGTAATCGTCAAATGGGTAAAACACCCTTCAAGTTCCGCCATTCGTTATAGTTCTGGAAAAGCAGCAGCATGATGATAAAAGAGTTGGAAGACTGGGAATTTATTCACTTCTAAAGTATGACCTATGATTTCATCTTCTTCACCATCTCCTCGATGTCCAGCTCAACGGCCAAAACTGATGAATCTTGCCTCATTGCCATGTGACTTGAATGATGCAGAATAGGATTATACAGAATCAGATAAGACAGTTCGAACTCAATTATAACGAGAGCAGGTGGCTCTAGATGTACCTGTTCTGTACCGGACCATGATCCACAGCTGATCGTAGAGCATATATCACTCGACCGACAATATTAGTCATAGGAACAGGACCAAACAAACGGCTATCTTTGGCTTCCTGACACGGAAAAGAAAAAGAAGGAAAATTAAGTTAGTTAGCAGCTTATCTTTTAAGAGAATTCACTGATACATTGAAGAGAGAACAAGCCTTGAGCTATTACACATTTACTCAAATAAGGCCTTAATTCAATGATGTCAAAATAAACAGGTGCTCCAAATTGATTATTCACATTCTCTAGTCATATACACAACTTATATAGTGAATAAAGAACCAATTGACACATTACTGCGCTTTTGCAAATCAATATTGAATGATGTAAGCAGCATTATTGAACAAAAAATATCTTCTAGGCCAAATTTTTTAAGGATCCAACCAATTCATTGTGATTGCATTGGACATTTTTTTATTAAATTCAATAATATATGATGCTTTTTGCTAAGTGAATCAAGATGTCAATGTTTCAGTTAAAACAGCTACATTGCATTTATTCCTAGGTCAGCAAGCAACAAAACGAATGATATTTAAACTTTTGGACACTATAGATTATGTTTAACTAAGTGAATCTTGTGGTTAGAAAGTGCAGATTTAACTTTGGCTTGATAGGATTAACACATCGATCCTCCTAAAAAGTGACAAGCTTCCTCCACGCATAGGATACGTCAGGTTTGTGCATATTTGAAGTTCGGAAAAAGGAGGTCTACACTACAATTACATTCAGAATTACATATGCAGAAAAATTGCAAGCTTATGATGGCATATTTTGATCTAGATCTTTTATCAGAATAATAAGATGTAGAAAGAATACTGATCATAGGCTGAATTTGTGGTTAAGTGTGAGATTACAGGGAAACCAGCGCATGAGGTTCCAGTAAATGCGGGTCCGGGGATGGCAATGGTCAATGTAATAACAACTCAATGTTTGCCTTTAAAAATGTGAACATAATCAGAGATAAGTATCACCCTTACAAATATACCTCTACCAAGATACATATCCTATCTGTATTGGATGAAACAAGGCTGTTCGATAATTCTCATAGTGGCTGATAAAAAATTGCAAGCAAATTTGCATGTAGTAGTTACTGCAGCCATTTATGCTAGATTACAACATCTATGAAACTGCCCCATGATTTTACCTTTGGCTTTAGAGACTCATTGTCAGCCAACACCCAACATTGATCCTTCTCTAAAATAAATGGTTCATCTTTGTCGTCAGTTGAACACAATTCATAGCCTTCTGTAGCAGCCAATCTTCTAACAACATAATCAGCGGTTTTCTCAGGGTCTTTCAACATTACAACATCACCGACAAAAACTTGCCTACAGCAACAAAAGTAACAAACTAAATGAATTTTTTCAAAAGAATCCTACAAAGATTAAAAGAAGAATAAGTTGCTGTAGTCCCTATAAAGATCAATGGGACCTTAATTCCAAACCAAAAGAAATACTAGTTCTATAGCATCGTTTGTTGAAATAATCTTTAATTACAATATCATCTCTACGCGGACAAACGATGTTTTACAATATAATTTACATCTAACTAATCATGGATCAGGTGTTGAGTTGTTGCCTGCCAGTAAAAAGACAATAACATGGTCAACGGAATAAACTTTTAGGACTGAGTGGTGGTGAAATTTATTCACGGTGAATAAACGTCTCCATATTTCTTCCATTTTAGGGATAAAATAGTCATCAATTCCTAGCAAATCTTGGGACCAGGCCCTTGAAAAATGCCAGCAGATATATCTCACTTCAACAAAACATCCAAACATACAGGTAGATTGAAAGCAAAAGACCATTAAAAGTCAAAAACTGAAAAATCCATGTGTAAGAAACTACAAGATAGAGCCAAGTTAGAAACTCAAAAATTATATACCATGACTAACAGCATATTAAACAAAAAAACTATGACTAACAGCGTATCATTTTGTAATCTCCTTTTAAGAATGCACTGTTTTATGATGCAAATCATGCCTTACACAAATCAGATCAATCCAGAGTTCTCCTGCACCTATTTGACTGACCATCTTGAAAATCCAAAAGCATCCATCTTATCAAAACTGGATTCACAGAAATGACTTGATTTATATGTTTGATTTGGGTGAACAAATGATTCCTTCCTCACCGCAAAACACCACTGTCAAGTAAAGCTTCAAATTATAACTAGATCCAAGACTCAAAACATAACTTGACAAAGTCCTAGCTAGCCCTCTCACCTCCTGGAAGTCATCTAGAGTTTTATTTAGAGTAAAATTAGTATCTTAAGTCCCAATATGGGTATAACATGAGTTAGGATAGTTGTTTTTCAAGTCGGCTTATTCTGAGAGTTGTAGGATCCAGATCTTAAAAGGATGCAGGATTAAATTTTCATACCTCAACTACTTTGTTTAGAAATAAGAGTTGAGAGTCTACAAATAAAAATCTTGTAAGACTTCAAGGCATAAAAAGATTGAAGTCATTAATAACACCCTCTATAGTTCTTTTGTGTCTCTTCCTTTTCTCTTTTTCTCTTTTTTTTTCTTCCTCCTTTAATCTATCCTCTTTTCTCATTAAAATCTCTCTTGGACTCAAATAGAACCTTGACTGTGTCAACAATTATGCTTAACGATGCACAAAATTATCTATTTCTCTTGAGGTAATTTGAATTTCAAGTAGCTCACTGCTTGTTCCCTATGAAACAAGTACATTTTTTGACATGTTCATCAAATAACAATAAGCAATCCTCCTTGTCCCATTCTTTTTCTTAGTATTACTAAATTTAAACCTCATAAATTCATTCACAAAAAACTTAAAATCTTAAGTTTCTAACAATTGTTTCCATAACTCAAAAGAATTAATCCTAATTAAATTCCCATCAAAAAAATATATTATCATCAAAATAATATATGCCATGAAGGTCTATCTTGCATATGGCTAGTGAGTTCATGCATTACTATTATCAGAAGATAACGATCATAATTTGATCATGGGTGGAATCCTACATTTATAGGAAACTTGTTGTAGATACCCCTTGTATTCCTAGCACCAGTAATTACTCTATCATATGTATCTTTTATTAAATTAATATAAATAATAGATAATTATTTCCTTTTAAAATTCACATATTAAATTTTCAAGAACTTTATAATTGGCTTTCTCTAAGACAATAAAATTCATTGACACATTTTCTAATCCTCTTTATCCAGTCTAGTTAGCGATATGCATGATGTTACAGGAATCATTGATGAAAATAACATTTGTATTTGCTA